CTGGGGCTTGAACTCGGGGCCTGGGCGCCGTCCCTGAGCTTTCACTCAAGGCTGGCGCTCTCCCACTGGAGCCACGGCGCCACTTCTGGGTCTTGTGGTAGTTAATTGGGGGTAGGAGTCTCCCAGGCTTCCTGCCAGGGCTGGCTTTTTGAATGCAGTCAGACTTACTGTCCCCTCCATCACTCCCCCTCATCTTCCATCTCCCGCTTTGACGAGTCATTTGTCTGCAGTGCCCTCTTGGGAGGTTTGACCGGTGCTTGTATTTCCCCACAGACTGAGGCCGATGTGAATCCCAAGGCCTATCCTCTTGCAGATGCTCATCTCACCAAGAAACTGTTAGATCTTGTTCAGCAGTCATGTAACTACAAGCAGCTTCGGAAAGGAGCCAATGAGGGTAAGTCAGCCATGAAGTTCTGCTAGGGAGGATGTTAACACCACGGTTCTCCATCTGAAGCCCCTGGTCTAGATTTAGAGTTTGGAGGAAGGACTGAGTTTTTCTCATTCTCCCCTTTTCTGTACTTTGGGGGGGGGCGGTGAGGTACTGGGGCTTGAACTCAAGGCCTTGAGCTTTGTTTTAGTTTTTTCCCCCTCACAGCTGGCACTCTACCACTTCTAGATTTTTGCCGGTTAGTTGGAGATAAGATTCTCTCCAATTTGTCTACCTAGGCTGGTTCTGAACTTGTCTTCAGATCTCAGCCTCCTGAGTAGCTTAGGATTCCAAGTGTGAACCACCAGCAACCAACTCTTTCCTTCTTTTTTTTTTTTTTATAGTCTTGTTTAGGCTAACTGTGAACTAAGGAGTCATCACTTTCCTATATTTTTTGCTATATTCTTTCTCGTCATATATAAACCCTTTCTTTCTCTCTCTCTCTCTCACTTTCTATTTCTTTCTTTCTCTCTCTCTTTCTTTTTCTTTCTTTGAAAGGTAGTTATCAATCCTTGGTGCTCTCTAAAGTCATCTGGGTGCTGGTGGCTCACACCTATAATCCTAGCTACTCAGGAGGCTGAGATCTGAGGATCCTGGTTCAAAGCCAGCCCGGGCAGGAAAGTTCGTGAGACATTTATCTCCAATTAGCCACCAGAAAACCAGAAGTGGTGCTGTGACTCAAGTGGTAGAGCTCTAGCCTTGAGCTGAAGAGCTCAGGGACAGTGCCCAGGCTCAGCGTTCAAGCCCCATGACCACAAAAATAGTCACCTAAATGAATGTTGTTTTTCATTATATCTTAGTACTTAACATCTATGAATTTCGTCCTTGTTAACAAGTGAAATTTTTATTGGAATAGTTATATGTGCCAAGACATTTCTGCCCAGATGATAGAGAATGTTCTAAACAGATGGCCAGTAGATCACTGTGGAGGCTTGTCTCTGAAGATAGTGAAACATCGGGCATTTTGCAGGGACCAATGAGAATCACATTGACCTATGTTACTGAAAGAAGACAAAGCATGTAGCTGGTGTATCTGTCTTCATGGTTTCAGCCCTGCTCTTCATGCTGTGATTCCTGGTGTAGCAGTGGCCAGTGACAGGAAGGCACTGGACAGGAACTTGTTCTTGATCCTCAGGTAGCTGAGGACACAGATAAATTGAGCATCTTGTTTCCTTATGGCACACTTGGTTCTGTGCTACTCTAGGCTCAGTGGTGTCAGGACAGGTAGATAGGTACTTAGGTGAGAGATGCTACATCTTGGCTCTGATTCAGAATATGCTTACCTAGCGTTCATGAAAAAAAAGGGATCTTTTTAAATAGGATACTCAGCCTTTCTGAGGAGGTGGAGTTTGAGCATAGAACTGAACATTGGTGGCAGGTACTAGAGAAGTGCTACACTACACTCTTCTTGCTGCCCAAGGAGTTTGTTGTAGTTGACCCAGGTAAGTGATGACAGTTCATCCCCTGGTCCTGGACCAAAAGCAAACCAATAAGTGGTGAGATTCAGGATGTAGGTTTGACTGTCTCAAGTCTCAGGGTGCTTTGAGATAGACAATTACCTGTGCCTGGCCATTTTGCCCACTTTTCTTGTGTCTGTTATTCTTTCCCTGGAAATTATTTTGTTGTGGCTGCCCTGTCCAAGCTGCATGTGGCCCATGGCCTCCTGTCCTTGTCTCCACAGCCACCAAAACCCTCAACAGAGGCATATCTGAGTTCATTGTGATGGCAGCAGATGCCGAGCCCCTGGAGATCATCCTGCACCTACCCCTGCTGTGTGAAGACAAGAATGTGCCCTACGTGTTCGTGCGCTCTAAGCAGGCCCTGGGGCGAGCCTGCGGGGTGTCCAGGCCTGTCATTGCCTGTTCTGTCACCATCAAAGAAGGCTCTCAGCTGAAGCAGCAGATCCAGTCCATTCAGCAGTCCATTGAAAGGCTCTTAGTCTAAGCCTTTGGCCTCAGCCACACGCCCCCTCACCCCCTGAAGTCGTGTATCATATTGTCAGTGTTAGCATGTAGTATTTTCAATGCCTTTCTATTATAAAGTATTGTACTAAATCTGGTTTCTAGATTTTTGTATTGTTTTAGTTTGTTTTACAGAAATGTTTTCCCCTATCTCCCCTTCGTCCTCTGTCATCCTTTTATCCTGTCTTGAAAACTGAGCTAATGCCCAAAATAGGCAGAAAGAACAAGGAGAGACCTAACCTGAGGTACAGATTTTGTTGCAGCTTTCACCTGCCAACTCCCTTCTATATGCAGGACAGGAATAAATACCTGCCACTTTGCGTCCTTTGTGCCTGTCATGCGGAATCTCCATCCGTGGCCCAGTGGTTGAGTTTCCTTTGCATTTCCCTCTTTGTGAATGATCATGTATCGTTTAAGAAGGAGATGTGTATTCTATGATGAGGTGGGTGTCCAGCCATTTACTAATGTGTGCGTTACTCCTGGCAGCTCTTGATATGATGCTGTATTCTCAGCTGACCCAGGCCTCTGAGGGCGGTAGGGCAGCAACATACCAAAGGAGAAATATGTAGGGGGGGGGGAGTGGGTCAACCTGGGCCTTGACTCAGAAGTAGCAAGGACAAAAGGGTCAATTGATACTGGAATGAAGGATTCTGGGGGGGAAAATAGTAGTTACATGGTAGCTACAGCAGACAGTGGAGTCCTGAAATTATCTTTGGGTCAGTGGGGATTTCTTCAGTGGCTGCTTAGCACTGGCTGTAGGAGCCCTTACCTTCTGCTGCAGTGTGGGCGCAGATGTATTCTCTATCACATGAAAACATAGGTGTCTTATTCATTCTTGAACATCCTAATAAAAAAGTATATTCATACTCCATTTTAAACAAAGTGTGACAGTGCGTGCTTGTTTAGATTACATAAACCTGATTTTTATTTATTTATTTTTGGCCGTGGGGCCTGAACTCTGGGCCTGGGCACTGTCCCTCAGCTCTTCAGCTCAAGGCTAGCGCTTCACCACTTAAGCCACTGCGGCACTTCTGGCTTTTTCTGCTTATGTGGTGCTGAGGAATCGAACCCAGGGCCTCATGCATGCAAGGCAAGCACTCTACCACTGAGCCATTATCCCAGCCCTGATAATTTGATTTGTTGACTAGGGACCAGACCCCTACACATCTGTGTGTGGCAAGCTGATCCAGACTCAGTCATGGAAGTGTGACTGTCACTCTAGAATCCTTATTGGTCCTACTGACATTTAGGACTGGTTAATAAGTTCTGGAAGGGCCGGGCACTAGTGGCTCACACCTGTAATCCTAGCTACTCAGGAGGCAGAGATCTGGATCGTGGTTTAAAGCCAGCCCCAGCAGGAAAGTCCATGAGACTCTTCAATAAACCACTAGAAAACCAGAAGTGGCGCTGTGGCTCAAGTGGTAGAGCGCTCGCCTTGAGCTGAAGAGCGCAGGGACAGTGCCCAAGCCCAGAGTTCAGACCCCACAACCAAAAAGGAAAAAAAAAAAACTAAGAATTTCTGGAAGGGGCTGCCCTGTGTATATGTTTGCTTGCATCCCTGTTCTGAAATGTTGGAGGGCTGTGGTCATGCTTAAGTGGTAGAGGGCCCTGGGTTGAAATCTGAGTGCCACCAAATAATAAATCATGGATGGGGAAGGAGAAAACTTGTTTTTAGACTTTGTATTCCCTCTTCTTGGTTATTGGTTACACGTTGAAAACCAGGTAGAGCTTATAGTTGTAGCATTTGTCTATTGGATAAGCAGTCTGGTGCAAGGAGGAAGTCATTGTGAAGTAGGGAATTAGCATTCCCCACGAGACCCTGAGCCACACTCTGGCGAGCCGGCTACCACGGGCCAGAGTAAATCCCAGGTAGAATTGGCTTTTATATATGCTGTGGTCCAGGTTTCAAGGGCTCAAACTAGAAAGGCCATACTCGTCCTAGCTCCCATCTCAGTGTGTGTGTGAGATTTGGAGAGAGTATTTCCAGATGACAGGAAGGGGATGAGGTCCCAAAGCTCGAGGTCCTGCCTTGCTCTTCTTAGCTTTTAGTACAAAAGACATGAGAGAAGGGCTCATAGTGATTTGAGCTATTCCACATGTCCCTGGAGTTTGGTTAAGGTTGCTGTGGTGTCCTGCTGTCATGGCAGCCAGGCCCTGCTGCAGCTGAGTCCAGACGGGCTTGGTGCATGATGCATGCGCAGGCCCAAGTCTCTAGCGAGATTTCGCGACAGCCCCACCTGGCGAACTGAAGCGTCATTGCGGCGCTGAGTTGTATATGTAGTTTGTTGCTTTTTATTTATTGCTAAGGAAGCAAACATTAGTTTCGGAGAAACACAGTATTTCTCGCAAATCACAGTGGCTATTCTAATATTCCTATGCCTGTTTGGCACTCCTGTTGTTTTTCCTTTGAAATGTTTTCATACTTCCCATGTTGTAAATCGAACAGGAGAAAGGATACTGAGAGTTGGATGGAAGTCATTCAGGAGCCACAAAACAAAAAGCCAGACTGAGCGAGGCAATGGTGGCACTCATACCTGTAATCCTAGCTACTCAGGAGGCTGAAATTCCTGGCTAAAATAAGAATAACACAGCTCAAAGCAAGACCAGGCAGTCAAGTCCATGAGACCCTTACCTCCGATTAACTACCCGAAAACCAGAAGTGGAGCTCTGGCTCAAAGTGGTAGACCACTAATTAGCTTTCAGCAAGAGATAGACAGTGCCAGGCCCTGAGTTCAAGCCCCATGACTGGCCCAAAAACCAAACAAAAAGTCAACTGGGAATGTGCCAGGGCCCCTTCTCATAGTCCAGGACACTCCGGCATTACCAGGGACTCAGTGATGGGATTTTTTATTTTTTTTTCTTTTTGGGTCCGGTAGTGGGGCCTGAACTCTGGGCCTGGGCGCTGTCCCTCAACTCTTCAGCTCAAGGCTAGAGCTCTACCACTTGAGCCACAGCGCCACTTCCGGCTTTTTTCTTTTTGCTTATGTGGTGCTGAGGAATCGAACCCAGGGCCTTGAGCATGCAAGGCAAGCGCTCTACCACTGAGCCAACTTCCCAGCCCTTATTTTTATTTTTTTCCGGTAGTGGGGCTTGAAATCTGGGCCTGGGTGCTGTCCCTGAGCTCTTCAGCTCAAGGCGACCACTTGAGGCACAGCGCCACTTCTGGTTTTCTGGTGGTTAACTGGAGCTAAGAGTCTCATGGACTTTCCTGCTTGGGCTGACTTTGAACTGCGATCCTCAGATCTCATCCTCCTGAGTAGCTAGGATTACAGGCATGAGCCACCAGCACCAGGCTAGTCATGGTACTTTCTTACTCTCTTACATACACATAAATGGCTGTGACTACCACAATTAATCACTTTATAGATTGATCTGGAATCCAGAGATTCTAACCATACTTCATTTAACAAGGGTAAGTGGTCTAATTTCTCCAAAAGGCAAATGAGCACTAGTTCTTCTAAGTGGAAGAATTATCTTCCTTTTTAACTATTTTTACAGTAGAGTTTGAACTTGGGGCCTCTTACTACTGAGCCATGGCTGTAGCCCTTTTTTACCTTAACTATTTCTTTTATTTTTTTGTTTGTTTTTGGGTCCAGTTGTGAGGCTTGAACTCTGAGCCTGGGCGCTGTCCCTCAGCTCTTCAGCTCAAGGCTAGCACTCTACCACTTGAGCCACAGCGCCACTTCCGGCTTTTTTCTTTTTGCTTATGTGGTGCTGAGGAATCAAACCCAGGGCCTCAGGCATGCAAGGCAAGCGCTCTACCACTGAGCCACCTTCCCAGCCCTTAACTATTTCTTTTAGAGGCTCAATTTTTTTCTTGAACACACTCCTAATTTTATACCTCCTCACAGCAACCACTGTGGTAGAGATACCACACCCAGCTTCTTTTATGGAGATGAAGTCTCATGAACTTCTGCTTAGGCTGGGCTTGAACCTCAAGACTTCTGATCTCAACCTCCCAAGTACCTAGGGTTGCAGGCATGAGCCACCATGCCCAGTGGATTGTCTTCCTTCTTGTCCTAACAAGGAATAACTCAGAAAAGAACACAGAGAGGTACATGTCTGTCAAGTGGACAGGAGGATCTGTGAGTTGAAGTCTATCTAGATTGTCTCAAAAACAAACAAAAAAAACAGCTGGGCACTGGTGGCTCATGCCTGTAATCCTAGCTACTCAGGAGACAGATCTGAGGATCACAGTTCAAACAATGTTGTATTTCCATTGTTATGATGAGTTTCCAGTGGGAGTGAAAACTATGTTAAGTGATGCAAAACAGTATACAGTACAAAATTAGGTTTCTTTATTCACACAGCACAGTAAGGCACAGCAAAGCAGGGCTGCACTGCCTCCACAGCAGCAGGTCTCAAATGTCCCCTAGGTTTCTGTCAGGCAGCTCTTTGCAGCTCAGGAGAAACACTTACTAACTTGATGAGAAAAAAGAAAACAGGAAACTTGGTACCAGTGGCTCAGGCCACCTCCTCAGGAGGCTGAGATCTGAGGATCATGGTTCAAAGTCAGCTTAGGCAGGAAAGTCTGTGTGACTTATTTCTAATAAACTAAAAAAAGAAGCTTAGAGAGCTGGCCCGGTGCCTCATGCCCTGAGGATCACGGTTCAATGCCAGCCCAGGCAGGAAAGTCTGTGAAACTCTTACCTCCAATAAACCACCAGAATACTGGAAGTGGCTTATAGCTCAAGTGGTAGAGTGCTAGTCTGGAGCTGAAGAGCTGAGGGACAGCGCTCAGGCCCAGAGTTCGGGCTCCTCGACTGACAAAAAAAAAAAAAGGGAAGCTCAGAGACAGCTCCCAAGTCCTGAGTTTAAGCCCCAGGACCAGTATAAAAAAACAAGACAGCAGCCTGTGGTGTGGAAGGTTGCTGGCTGTGCGGTCAGTCCTGGAAGTGCTTGGTGAGGGCATCCAGCAGCTTCTGTTTCTTCAGCTCACACTTCAGCCCGTACATCCTGCATGCCTCCTTCAGTGTGGCCACATTCAATTTATGCAGTGTGCCCTTGTTGATGTGCTCCTTCAGCTCCTCTTCAGATAACTCCACCTTGAACTTTTTGCTGCTAGAAGCGTTATCATCTGAGAAAAGAGCAGGAAGGAATGACTGGAAATACTATCAATGCCATATGCTGGCAGAGTCCTGGTTGACAATATTCTGTATAACTGCAATTCGTAGGTCCTGTGGGGAAGACATGTCTTCACAAAGCAGCTTTAATTTTAAAACAAAAGAGCTAGATGCCGGTGGCTCACACCTGTAATCCTACTCAGGCGGCTCTGAGAATCATGGTTCAAAGCCAGCTTGGGCAGGAAAGCCCATGGAATTCTCCGTCATCTCCATAATCACCAAAAATCTAGAAGTGGAGGTGTAGCTAAGAGGTAGAGTATCAGCCTTGAATGGAAAAGCCAAGGTGCTGAGTTCAAACCCCAGTAGAGGCACAAAAAAATAAACATCCAGACACCACTGGCTCACACCTGTAACCCTAGTTACTCAACAGGCTAAGATCTGAGGATCACAGTTTGAAATCAGTGAAACTTTTTTTTTGGTTAGTCAAGGAGCTTGAACTCAAGGTCTAAATGCTGTCTCCTGAGCTTCTGTGCTCAAGCCTAGCACTCTTGCCACTTTGAGCCAGTCCATAGTGTCAAATGTTGGAAGTGGAAATATGGCTTACATGGTTAACTCCAGCCTTAAGCAAAAACACCAAGGGAGAATCTAAGTTGAAGGGAGATTCTGCTCTCCCTCCCCCTACCCCAAGCTAGACTGGAAGCATGGCTCAAGTGGTAAGAGTACTGGCCTTGAGCAAAAGGAGTTCAGGCACAGTGCCCAGGCCCAGAGTTCAAGCCCAACAATAAAAAAAAAAAGACAGGGCCTGGATACTGTCCCTGAGCTTTTTTTGCTCAACATTAGTGCTCTACCACTCAAGCCACAGCTCCACTTCTGGCTTTTTGCGATTAATCTTATAGACTTTCCTGCCCCTGCTGGCTTCAAGCTGCAAGCCTCAGATGTGTCTCCTGAATAACTAGAATTACAGGCATGCCCACTAGCATCTGGCGCATTTTCTCTTGTTTTGGATTTAAATGATCACTTGTTCTGTTTTGGTTTTGCCCTGGTACTGGGGTTTGTACTTGAGAGCCTCTTACCTGCTAGGCATGTGCTCTACTGCTGATCCACGCCTCCATTTCTGTCCTGTATGGTTATTTTTGAGATAAGGTCTCACTTTTTTGCCCAGGCCCAAACTGGGGATTGAACGCAAGACCTAGCACGTACACAGCAGCTACTCTACCACTTGAGCTATTCCTACAGCCCCTTTTCATCTTGGTTATTTTCAAAGTTGGGCTTTACTTTATGCTTGGGTCAGCCTAGGTTGTGATCCTCCTTCCTGCACGCTCTGTTTCTAGGAATAACAAACACACACACACATCACTGCGCCCAGCCATTATGCTTACCTTCTGCTGAGATGACAGACGCATACCACACTCGGCCATTGGTTAAGATGCAGTCTCACTCGTTATGCCTAACGCTGCCCAGACCCTGACAATTAGAAACTTAAGCCACTTTGTACGAGAACCCAGTGTACTCCACACCCAGTTCCTCACCTCGTTTCCGCTTGTTCACTTTTTCCTCTGGATTGTAGTCTGGTGGATAGACAAGTTCTTTAAACTCATCTACCAGGGAGCCCAGTCTTCGATTCATTGCTTCAACCTTGGGCACTAGAAAATCCAAACACAGAAGAGTGGCCAGGTAAGTGGCAAGCAAGGCTGGCGTGGTCCACAGCCAGCTCCATGAGAAGCAGGAGCTGGAAGTGAGGTCAGAAGGGCCTGCGAGAAGGCAGCTGACCTGATGACCAGAAGTCATTCAATGAAGTCCTTTCAGCGTCCCCCACGCACAGCCGTCCCTGGGTGTGAGGGCTGCTTCCCAGCAAATCCTCCACTGTTCAAGCCCCTTCTTTAAACTGGCAAGGCATCTGCATTTAACCTCTCTCTCATACTTTAAATCACCTCTAGATTATTACTCTACCCAATATACAATGGTGATGCTGTGGAAATAGATTTAACACTGTATCTTTTAAGGAATAAAGATCCTCACCCCAAAGGCTACCATATTCGATGCAGATGCACTGTTTTTCTTTTTTTTTGGGGGGGGGGTGATCATGGGGCTTGAACTCTGGGCCTGGGTGCTGTCCCTGCGCTCTTCAGCTCAAGGCAAGTGCTCTACCGTTTGAGCCACAGCACCACTTCCAGTTTTTTGAGTGGTTTATTGGAGGTAAGAGTCCCACAGAATTTCCTGTCCAGGCTGGCTTTGAACCATGAAACTCAGATATCAGCCTCCTTAGTAGTAGTTAGGATTACAGGCGTGAGCCACCAGCGCCCAGTTTTCCAAGTTTTTTTTAATCTGAGCTTGGATGAATCTGTGGGTATGGATTCCAAGAATCTGGAGTCAGCACTTTACAATTAACTTAATGTCTTAAAGCAAGGGGTTGCTTAACTCAAGCATTCTCTTCTGCCAGACTTGGCATCAGAGTACCTACTATCCTCTATAATACCTACAATATATCTACTGTCTCGAATAGTATAACTTGGAAGTGAAGCCTGACAAATGAATGATTCTGATTGTTTTAACCTTTGTGAGACTCTCCATTAAATCCAATTGCTTCCCAGTGGATATTTACCTGTCAGTGAACTCCCTGTGTAAAAAACTCACAATCAAAAAAGACTACAGCAGCTGGGCACTGGTGGCTCATGCCTATAATCCTTATGAAGAATAGCTATAATCCTAGCTACTAAGGAGGCTGAGATCTGAGGATCACAGTTCAAAGCCAGCCTGGGCAGGAAAGTCCCTGAGACTCTTATCTCCAATAAGCCACCAGAAAACTGGAAGTGGTGCTGTGGCTCAAGTGGCAGACTGCCAGACTTGAGCTGAAGAGCACAGGGACAGCACCCAGGCCCAGAGTTCAAGCCCCACGATACAAAAACTACAGCAAGGCCAGAGATGGCCAAAAGCTTCCCACAGTGGATGACGAGGGGACTTTTCTCAGGGAGAGCACATAGTGTACTGAAGAGGCAGTAAGCACAGTGGTTCAGGCAAGGGCTTTGGGCAAGAGATGCTGGATTCTAATCCTTGATCCACCACTTACTGTTTAATACATGTACCTTGGATAAATCATTCTCTTCTCTGTAGAATTAGGACAATGATGGCCCCTAGTTCCTAGACTAAGGATTTAAATGAGTTGATGCACAGGATGACCAACAGCGCCTGGCATACTGCAGATACTCAGTATTATATAGAATTGAATTTCACAGATGTGTAAGCACAGGGCAGCCTAGTTCAGAGGCAGGTTCCAGGAACCTGGCCCTCTTTCCTCCTCACTGCAGAATTAGACAAGTCAACTCCCAGGCAGTCTAGAAAAATCTTTGAAGCAGAGATCGTCTGACAGTCAATGAGGTTAAGCTTTTAGAGAGGGCTAGGAAATGCATCAACTGGTCGGAGTGAAATCAAAAAGAAGGTAGCCTTTTTATCTGCCAGTACCTAGGCTTGAACTCAGGACTTTGAGTTCATTTATTTTCTTTGTTCATGGCTGGTGCTTTACCACTAGAGCCACATCTCCAGTTCAGCTTTTTTTTTGCTGGTTAATTGGAAATAAGAGTCTGTCCAATTTGTCTGCTCTGGCCAACTTCAATCTTCTGTCTTCAGATCTCAGCCTCTTGAGTTGCTAGGATTGCAGGTGTGAGCCACCAATCCCAGCAGCAGCCTTCTTTATGAGAAAGAATGAACTTCTTGGCAGCTGAAGCCTATAATCTTAGGCACTCAGGAGGCTGAGATTTGAAGTATCATGATTTGAAGCCAGCCCAAGGCAGAAAAATCTTCAAGACTCCATTTCCAGAATAACCAGCAAAAATCTGGACTGGAGCCAAATAAGCTGCCAGCTGAGCAAGCTTGCTGAGCAAGCACAAGTCCCTGAGCTGGAGTACTAGCAAAAAAAAAAAAAAAAATCCTCAAGCTGGGCATCGGTGGCTCACACCTATAATCCTAGCTACTCAGGAGGTTAAGATCTGAGAATCATGGTTCAAAGACAGGCCAGGCAGGAAAGTCTGTGAGACTTTTATCTCTAATTAACCACCAAAAAACTGAAAGTGGTACTATGGCTTAATGTGGCAGAATGCTTGCCTTGAGCAAAAGTGCTCAGAGACAGCGCCCTGTCAAGAGTTAAAGCCTCATGACCAACAGTAGTAGAGCTCTTGCTCTGATGTATAAAGACCTCGGTTTCATCCCCCATTCTGTTTCATCAAACAGAAAAACTAAGAGAAACTGTCGAGACCTGGCTCAAGCTTCTTACTTGTCAGGTCCACTGCTGCCTCGGGCTCCATCATGTCCAAAGCCAGAGCCTCCAGGTTCCGGAAGTGCTGCTGTAGCACTGGGTTCTCAAAGCTGTCACTTCTGTGATAAAACAATAAAATGAAAATGTAGGGACGTTACCAATTAAATGACAACATTAAATTGTTCCTGCTGAAATGCCAAAGGTCAGCTGAGAAAAAACAGTTGGCAATCTTATCACAACTCAGTTTCTTTAAGACTGTAACTCACTATGTCACCCAAGCCTGGTCTCAGTTTCCCAGTCCTCCTGCCTCTGCCTCCTGGAAACTGGGGCTACACGTTCACATCCCCATACCCAGCTTCTATCACACATTCTTCTGGGCCTGAACCTCTAATGGGACTCAGCGTGGAAGACAGCTCCAGATAAAAGCCCGAGAGTGAGCAGTGCTCACCTGTATTTGAAGCGGAGCCTCTGAACAATTGCTTTCATCTTGTCTATTTGCTCCGAGTTGGCTATGACCTTGTCAGTGAGGGGTACCTTGCGTTTATCATCGGCGTAGGGCAGGAAGACAAGCTGGAAGCCTGAAGAAGGGAGAGACATTTTCTTTTTCTTTTTTGTTGGTCGTGGAGCTTGAACTCTGGGCCTGGGCTCTGTCCCTCAGCTCTTCAGCTCAAGGCAAGTGCTCTACCACTTGAGCCACAGTGCCACTTCTGGTTTTCTGGTGGTTAATTGGAGCTAAGAGTCTCATGTACTTTTCTGCTTGGGCTGGCTTTGAACCACGATCCTCAGATCTCAGCCTCCTGAGTAGCTAGGAACAGGCATGAGCCACTGGTGACCAGAAGAAGCATTTTCTGAGATTTGATTTCAAGTATCACAGTCAGCTCCAAATGCACCCTTCCATGTCCTGTGGTGCTGGGCTGGGTCGGGGGCCTACATACCTCTGTTCTCCTTCACTAGCTGACACCTGATAGGCTTAGCAGACGCCTTCAGGACTGAGGGGAAGGCTGGAACTGTATTTATTGGTCCCATCCAGCCTGGGCCCTGCATGGCAGCAGCACTGAATCCAGGCTCTAGCTTGTTTGAGTGCATCTAGAAGCAACTGGACGTGCCTCCTCCCTGCTGCATGAAGTCTCAGCTCCACTGCCCTCTTTTTCTGCCCTTTGACCTCTCCTCTTTCCCTCACTTTCCAGCACATATTAAAATGGAAAGATGCAAGAACTACCAGGTAGATCTAAGGCCAGTTATTAGCTGGTTTTAGGCATGAAAAACTGACTCAGGGCTGGGAAGGTGGCTCAGTGGTAGAGTGCTAGCCTTGAGCTGAAGAGCTGAGGGACAGCGCCCAGGCCCAGAGTTCAGGCCCCACGACCAGACCCCCCCCCCCCGCAAAAAAAGTAAAACTGACTCAATGACTGCCCCCAAGTGCAAAGCCTTGCTGGCGGTGCTGAAGAAGGAGGAGGGACCAAGCCCTTACCTCTCCTGTCCTCTAGCCTTCCTAGAACACCTCACCTAGCCTGAGAACCAGCTGATTATGGATGGTCTCAGCCCCAGCAGAAGAGAAGCGTGCGACAGGCGAGGCTCACCTGGGGAGTGGTTAATGACTGAGTTGTTGTGAGTACTGATGTCTAGAGTTAAAAATAAACCTTTAAAAGCTAGGCGCCAGTGGCTCACACCTGTAATCCTAGCTACTCAGGAGGCTGAGATCTGAGGATTGCTGTTTGAAGCCAGCCCAGACAGGAAAGTCTGAGAGCCTCTTATCTCCAAGTGGCGCTGTGGCTCAAAGTGGGAGAGTGCTCGCTTTGAGCTGAGGGACAGCGCCCAGGCCCAGCGTTTAAGCCCAAGGCTAGCGCTCTACCACTTGAGCCACAACACCACTTTCAGCTTTTTCTGCTTGTGTGGTGCTGAGGAATTGAACCCATGGCTTCATGCATGCAAGGCAAGCACTCTACACTGAGCTACCTTCCCAGCCCAATAAACCTTTAAAGGATAGCTTTTGTTTGTTTAGTGTTGGCCCTTGAACTCAGGAACTACCCACTGTCCCTGAGATTTTCTGCTCAAGGCTCATGCTCTACCACTTTGAGCACAGCTCCACTTCTGGCATTTTGATGGTTAGAATTAAGAGTCAGTCTCACAGACTTTCTTGCCCAGACTGGCCTTAAAACACAATCCTCAGATCTCAGCCTCCTGAGTAGCTAGGATTACAGGCGTGAGCCCCCAGTGGCCTGGCCTAAAAGGTAGCTTTATAGTTAATTTTTAATAGCATGCCTAGAGACTGGGCACAAGCAGCACATTATTAACTTATTTCCAATGCAAAATCACGTGGAGGGGAAGGTGTTCCAGAATTCCCACCTCTGTTGATAAAGAATCTTAGCAGAATGGCTATTTGCCCAAGCTGGTCAGCTAACAAGTAACAGAGATGGGTCTGAAACCAAGAGAGCTTTCAGACATATGAGCATAAAACAAAGGCAAAGCCGGGCATGGTAGTCCATGCCCTTAATCCCAGCACTTGGGAGGCTGAAACAGGGAGATCATGAGTTTGTGGCCAACTGATCTAGAAAGCAAGACCTTGTCTCCAAAGAAAGCCACATACCTGGAGGAGTCACCTGAATTTTCTGGTCATCCAGCTCCTCTTCTTGTGGTATCAGTGCCACAAAGTAAGGGGGAACGTTCCTATGGGCTGTGTACCTACACACTGCTATGACCTGGCGCTCCAGACACTTGATGAACAGAGCATTGAACAGGGTGGAGCTCCCTAAAAAACAAACGTCTCAGGGGTTAGCATCCCAAAGACTTTTCCTCTCCTTCTTAGACCATCATATAACCCTACAGATTCTCTTCATTTTCTTTTTCTTGGCAGCACTGAGGTTTGAACTCAGGGTCTCACATTCTACCACACGAGCCAGGCTCCCTCATCTTTTTTACTCCATTTTTAAGATAGGGTCTCACATTTTTGCCCAGGCCAGCCTTAGACCATATAGCTAATATTATCAGTGTGAACCACCATGTCCAGCTTGGTTTTTTTGTTTGTTTGTTTTGTTTGGTAGTGGGTCTTGAACTCTGGGCGTGGGCGCTGTCCCTGAGCTCTTTAGCTCAAGGAGAGTGCTCTACCTCTTGAGCCAAAGCACCACCTCCAGTTTTCTGGTGGTTTATTAGAGATAAGAGTCTCACACACGTTACTGCCTGGGCTGGCTTTGAACCGCAATCCTCACATCTCAGCCTCCTGAGTAGCTAGGATTACAGGCCTGAGCCACTGGTGTCCAGCATTTTAAGAAATCTACCTCTAGCCGGGTGCTGGTGGCTCATGCCTGTAATCCTAGCTACTCTATTATCTGATGCCTCAAATAATTCCACAGGAAAAGCTGGGATTTTTGTTATTGTTGCCAGTACTAGGGCTTGAACTCAGGGCCTGGACACTGTCCCTTACCTTTTTTTGTTGTTGTTGTTGTTGGTTGTGGAGCTTGAACTCTGGGCCTGGGCGCTATCCCTGAGCTCTTCAGATCAAGGCTAGCACTCTACCACTTTGAACCATAGGGCTACTTCTGGTTTTCTGGTGGTTAATTAGAGATAAGGGTCTCACAGACTTTCTTCCCTAGGCTAGCTTTGAACCATGATCCTCAGATCTCAGCCTCCTGAGTAGCTAAGATTACAGGTGTGAGCTACCAGCACCTGGCCTGTCCCTTAGCTTTTGCTCAAAGCTGGCACTCTACCACTTGAGTGACACCTCCACTTCCAGCTTTTTGCTGGTTAGAGGTAAGAGTTTCATGGACTTTCCTGTCTGGGCTGGCAATCCTCAGATCTCACCCACCTGAGTAGCTATGATTACAGATGTGCACCACCTGCACCCAGTTAGGAAAAGTCTTTAAAAAGTCCACATCTCCTGGATTTTCATTTTCATGTTTTTATATCAGCATAGTAAGGGTCCCGAAGAGACTTCTAACTTGGTTTCACCCCACATTTCCAAAAGTTGAGCATGAATCATTTTAAGTACCCATGAGCATCTCCTGTACAGTGTCTAGGCAGGACCCATGGGAACCATGGCTCGTGTCCTGTGTTAAGCATCTTCCATCGATCCTGGCTCTGTGCCACTTACCATTGACCAGGGACTCCTCAGGGTACACGAACAGGGAGGGCCTCAGATAGTGGTGCTTCTTCAGCACGGCCAAGGGCTTGAAGCCAACGAGAACCAAACCTGGGTCCTCAAAGCGCTTCAGGTCTTCTGTTTCCTCTTTCTCTAGTATGATGGGCCGACTCCCGTAGATCTAGGAGGGGAACAATGAAAACGCCTATGCTGAAGCTACGCGGAAAGGGGACCAGATGACAGCAAGTTAACCAAGCTCTCTTTAAGAAGCAAGAAGCCAAAGGCCGCCTTCTCCTCCAAGAGGGAATATATTTTGAGGGACTGCCATGAACTTTTATACGTGCCATCTGCTTTATCTTCTGTTAAATATTAAAACAACAATAACTGACAGAAAAGCTGGGTATGGTGCCTATGCCAGACGCAGGAGGAGTGGCCAGCATGGGCTACAGTCAGACTGTGTCTCAAAAAAATAATAAAAGGGGTGAAGGGGCGGGGAATGGCAGTATATGCCTGTAATCCTAGCACTCACAAAGCTAACGCAGAAGAGTTACAAATCAGAGGCCAGCCTGGCTATATAACAAGTTTAACCTATCTGGAGCTATATAGTGAAACCCTTTCTAAAAAAAAAAAAAAAAAACAAAAAACTAGGGCTGCAGCTCAGTGTTAGATGCCTACCTGGCATGTGATACGCAAGAGCCTGGGTTCATCCTAGCACTACAAATTTTGTTTTTCCTTTTTTTTTGGTTGTAGGACCTGAACGCTGTCCCTCAGCTCTTCAGCTCAAGGCTAGCACTCTATCACTTGACCCACACCGCCACTTCCAGCTTTTTCTGCTTATGTGGTGCTGAGGAACCAAACCCAGAGCCTCATGCATGCAAGGCAAGCACTCTACCACTGAGCCACCTTCCCAGCCCTTTTTTTTTTTTTTTTTTAATTTTAATAGATGAGTCAACTGCAACTCACTGACTGGGCAATTCATTCCACGTTCTACAACTGTTCCTTTGCTAATCTCCCAGCTTCATCCGTCATTCACAAAAGGTGGCAGATAGGAACAGATATTCCTAAGTGTTCACTTTAAAACTTGTTAGTATTTTAATCCAGAATGATTAGCACCAAGATTTAGTAGCAGAGTCAAATTCAGATCTTACAAACAACAACCAAAAACTCCCTCACTGGTCACCAGTGGCTCATGCCTGTAATCCTAGCTATGCAGGTTGTTAAGATCTGAGATCATGGTTTGAAGCCAGCCTAGCCAGGAATGTCTATGAGATTCTTAGCTCCTATAAACTGCCAAAAAAAAGCTGGAAATGGAGCTCTGACTCTTGCCACGCCTACTCCAGTGGAGTCTGCTTAGCATGGGAAACCAGCGTTCAGACCTGAGAATGGGGCTTCAGAGACCTATCTCTGAGTATTGGGACTTCACCGAAGTCTACCTCGGAGAATAGGGCTTCAAAGAGGCCTACTCCTGGAAAGGCTGGCAAACCCCTGGGAAAGGTTTGTTTCTGCTTTTCTTTTCCTCACTGTATAAGAGTGCCTATTAATCTTTTACTGTTTCTGCTGCTCATTGTACTTACTCATTGTCAACGTTCCCTTATTCAAAGCTCTTTCTTAAGAGTGTTGACGACTCCAATATCTGATGAGTGTCTTAAAAATATGACTAACTCACCAGCGTTAAGTGCTACCCTGAAAGCCCCTCTAATGGAGGCTAGTAGACAAGCCATAAGCAAATATAAAAGTATTGGGGGTTTCACAATGCCACTTCAGCAGAAGGAATTGTTTGTAAGGGATTTACAAGAAGCTGTAGGGTCAGCTAGAACAGAAAGAGTGTATGGCAACTGCTGAGATAACTACTTAGGAGAAAGAACTTCCTGCTACTCTCTTTTATTTACTAAGAGACTTGCTAGATCTAGGTCTCCTTGGTGTTTACTATTAAAAAAGGAACAGGAAAGATCTTATGGGACAGTTAAGGCCTCTATAAAAATAGGTAATGGTTAATTGGTGACAAACATCGAAACCCATTGTATTTCTTAGAGATAAGCCGGAAACAAGTGCCTATCAAGTGCCTATCAGGCGACCAGCTGGTGACCACCCAAGAATGAAGTCCTGCAGCAAGATTGTGTAACCTTTTGCCCTTTCTTATGGAGACTTTTTGCTATAAAAGTTTGTTATCCTCTGCAATAAATCGTACTCAGCATCCACTCCTCTTGTGTGTGAGTTGTCTGTTTGCCATCTCCCCCCCTATTCCAGGTTCCTCCCCGAGGTGTCCCCCGTTGTCCCGACAGAGCCGGTCCACGGCAGACTCTGAAATGGTAGACCACTAGCCTTGAGCAAAAAAAAAACTCAGGGACTGTGCCAGGCCCTGAGTTCAAGCACACACAAAAAATAGTCTTGGCACAGAAATGGAGGGACAATGGGTGAACAAATGCACTACCAAGAGCCAAACCTGGGTCCTCAAACCTCACTAGACACTATATTCAAGGTGAACTATACAATTAAGGGTGGGGATAGAAGGGAAGAGGTAGAAATGTACTCCATACTCCTTAGTATATCACCTTTATAATAACAATTTAAAATTTTTGTTTGTCTCTCAAGCTTTTCTCAGGATCAAGATATAGATTCAGCCAGGCGCTGGTGGCTCACGCCTGTAATCCTAGCTACTCAGGAGGCTGAGATCTGAGGATCGCGGTTCAAAGCCAGCCCAGGCAGGAGAGACCGTGAGACTCCTATCTCCAATAAACCACTAGAAAACCGGAAGTGGCGCTGTGGCTCAAGCGGTAGAGCGCTCGCCTTGAGCTGAAGAGCTGAGGGACAGCGCCCAGGCCCAGAGTTCAAGCCCCACGACCGACCAAAAAAAAAAAAGATATAGATTCAGTGGCCTGGTGTTGGTGGTCCACACCTTTAATCATAGCTACTCAGGAGACTGAGATCTGACCAATGAGTTGGAAGCCAGCCTCAACAGGAAAGTCTATAAGAATCTTATCTCTAATTAACCACCCAAAACCCAGAAATAGAACTGTGACCCAAGTGGTAGAACATCAGCCTTGAGTGAAAAAAAATAAGGACAGAGCCCAGGCCCTGAAAAGTCGGTGGCCCAAAGAACTTCTGTATGTAAATAAACAGACACACATACGAAAAAACTAGTTACTTCCAAAATAGAACAGGACGTTTCTGAGCTTGTCTTCCAGAAAAGTAGGGCAAAATTCTCTGGTTGAAATCTGTGTTCCCAAAAATAAATCTCAGGGGTTGAACCAAAATAATATTTAATTTCAGTCATCCCTTTAAGGTCCTGCAGTGAAGTAAAACTGATTCTCTTCCACGTGTTACATAATTTAAAATGATGACTCATTTGATTTTAATTTCAACTCAAATTCTTCTCTGGATGAAACTGAAGTGAGAGGAAGAGGAAGGGGAAGGGGAAAGGGAATGTCTTATCTTCTGTCCTTCAGGTCAAAGAGCTGATATATATTATTTCAAAAAACACAGAAAAAAATTGGCTTATTAGCAAAGTGAAGTTCTCCCCACTTTGCATCTCAACATGTCCTGGCTAACTAGCAAGCACCATCTGCCACTGCTCGAGCAAGGACTGCGCATGCCACAGCTCTTATAAACGCTGGCCCTGTTTAACATTCTCCACTTCAAAGTCACACTCACCCAGAAGCCACAGCTCTAAAGAGAAATCACTATGTGTGTCATGTGGAAGTGATGTCAGTGTGTCTACTCCTGTGACCGCTTGCTAGAATGGGAGAACATTCCGTCACAAGCAATGTCCACCTACCTGAGACCTTTTGGTGTCACTGGGCAGGAGCAAGCTGCCTGTATTTACATTGAATACTCTGGATTTCGTCTTCAGTGGTTCGTTTGTTTCCCTATAAAGCCTCACTGGAAAAGGCTTGGTAGCCTTCTGGACCAAGTTATAGATGCCCACAGTGAGCACTATGTCGTTGTTGAGCTTAAACTTTAACCTGGGGGAGAAGAAGAAAATACAAAAAGTACAGATTGAAAAATTATATATACTTTCTCATCAGACTCCTTTCATGGCACTCAGTTTTGATTTGTGCTAACGAAGCTCTTAGAATATAAATAGAATGCAGCCAAGCCTAGCAGTGTCTGCCTGTTTCCCAGCACTCAGGTTAAGACAGAATTGTGTGTTCAAGGCCAGCCAGTACTAGAACAAGACACTTCCTCCACCCCCTGGAGGGGGGGGGAAGGATAATCTAACATTCTGGTTCCCATTGGTGAAAAACCAGATTAAGCCAATGTGTGTGTATGCTAGTACTGGGGCTTGAACTCAGGGCTTGGGTATTGTCCCTTAACTTTTTTGCTCAAGGCTGATGTTCTACCACTAGAGCCACAATTGTGGTTAATTTTTCAAATAAGAGTCTCATAGACTTTTCTGCCTAGGCTGGCTTTGAAGCTCAATCCTCAGCTTGCTAAGCAGTTTGAATTACAGGCCTGAGCCCCTGGCATCCAGCCCAAGATGATACAATTTTAACAATGATTATTAATTAAAACTTTTTTTTGGGGGGGGGTCCGGTCGTGGGGCCTGAACTCTGGGCCTGGGCGCTGTCCCTCAGCTCTTCAGCTCAAGGCTAGCGCTCTATCCCTTGAGCCACAGCACCACTTCCAGCTTTTTTTCTTTTTGCTTATATGGTGCTGAGGAATCGAACCCAGGGTCTCAGGCATGCAAGGCAAGCGCTCTACCACTGAGCCACCTTCCCAGCCCCTAATTAAAACTTATTAAGCCTTCATTCTAAACATGCTTGCTTATATTTTTTTAAATGTATACCTCACATTAAGCTGGTATGAGGCTGGTATTGTTACCCCACAGAGAAAATGACGCTAAACAATGTACTAGAACAAGGCATGAAGGCCACGTTCCTCTAGAGAAATACCTCACCAGCCCCTGCAAGAGAAAGCAAAACAAATAGATTGGGCTGTCTGGAAACACAGGTGTTCTAGAGGAGGCCAGAGAGGTAGGAGCACAGCCCAGGAAAGGCAAAGCAATGCACTATTTGGGATTAGGTATGGGACTCAGGGGCAGCTGATCTAGGCTTAGTACACACCTTGAGAGCACACGCTTCTTGGTATCTTTGGAACGAACTTTCCTCAAGAGATCATCCAGCTTGCTTGACTCCTCAAAGTGAACCCCAAGATCCTCGTCCTCTGCTACACTGATGATATCTCTGTAGAACAAGGATATGTCAAAGCCTCCTGGTTTCTTCAGATGCATCAAGTCAAGAAAGATACCTGGTATAAGGAGAGGCAAAAAGTGAGCGGGCCAGCGGGGAATGTGGCTTTAGGGGTAGAGTGCTTGCCTAACATGCATGAAATTCCAGGTTCAATTCCTCAGTCCACCTAAACAACAACAACAAAACGTTTAAGTGGTACTGTGGCTCAAGTGGTAGAGCATTAGCTTTGAGCACAAAAAGATTCAAAGACAGTGCCCAGGCCCTGAGTTCAAACCCTAGGACCAATAAAAAAAGAAAACACTAAAATAAATGAATGGATGGATGACCTCCAAGTATGTAGCGTTACTTGTGTGATATTAAGAAAAGAAACAAGCCAGCTGTTACAGTAGCTATAGATAACATACTAAAGTAATTATACATGACAGCACTGAAGTCAAGATAAGCTTGTACTGGGTGCAGGTGGCTCACATCTGTAATCCTAGCTATTCAAGAGACTGAGATCTAAAGATCACAGTTCAAAGACAGCCCAGGCAATTCATGAGACATGTGTCTCCAACCAGTAAAAATGCCGGTTGAAGTATGACTTAAGTGGTAGAATGCCAGCCTTGAGCTTTTAAAAAGCCAAGTGAGAACACAAGGGTCCCAATTGAGCCAAACATACATATATGCCCTTACACACACACACACACACACACACACACACACACACACACACACACACACAGACAAGCTTGCTCTGGTAGAGGCCTCTAGACAGTACGACAAAGC